TGCACTCCAGCCTAGGTGACAAAGTGAGAACTTGACTCATAAAAAGAAAAAAAAAAACAGAATTATGTTTTAGATCAATTAAACAGGATCAGCAGAAAATAATAAAAATTTGCATTTATAGATTACTTTCTATACACCAGGCACTATATATACGAACTTATTTACCACTCAAAACAACTCTATAAGGCACATACTTTATTATCTACTTTTTACAAGTGAAACTGAGGTGCAGAGTAACTTGCTCAAGGTCACAAAACTGATTGAATGGAGAAGGTGAAATCTGAACCCACGCAGTGTGCCTCCAGAGCCAACTCCTAAATCACTATGCTATAGACCACCACGAGGGGGCAAAAACTTTGTTTTTTTTGAGATGGAGTTTCGCTCTTGTTGCCCAGGCTGGAGTGCAATGGAGTGATCTCGGCTCACCGCAACCTCCGCCTCCTGGGTTCAAGTGATTCTCCTGTCTCAGTCTCCTGAGTAGCTGAGATTACAGGCATGCCACCATGCCCAGCTAATTTTGCATTTCTAGTAGGGATGGAGTTTCTTCATGTTGGTCAGGCTGGTCTCCAACTCCTGATTTCCGGTGATCCACACACCTCAGATACTGTGCCTCCAGGACCAACTCCTAAATCACTATGCTACAGACCACAATAAGGGGGAAAAACCTTTTTGTGTGTGTGACCCTTCCAAAGTGCTAATTACAAAAATTAGCTGGGTGTGGTGGCACGCACTTGTATTCTCAGCTACTCGGGAGGCTGAGGAAGGAGAATTGCTTGAACCTGGGAGGCAGAGGTTGCAGTGAGCCAAGATCACGCCACTGCACTCCAGCCTGGTGACAGAGCAAGACTTCATCTCAAAAAAAAAAAAAAAAAAAGAAAGAAGGAAAGAAAGAAATAACATCAGCTATAGCCAGAAGCATCACCAATCTTAGTACTTGACTGGTGTACAATAAGTACAATGAGCCACAGCACCTGGCTGGAAAAAAACTTTCAATGAACAAATTCAATAAAACTAACTTTATAGCTTGAGCCACCACACCTGGCTGTACGTTGTTATTTGAGAAATAATGCTATTGAACACTAATATAATGTAAATATAACTTTTGTATGCACTGGGAAACAAAAAACTTCATCCTCATTTTACTACAATATTCATTTTAATGTGGGTGGGAGTGCTCTGGAATCAAACCTGAAGTACCTCTCAGGTATGTCTGTATTACTCTGTCAAATCTCACCCTACACAAGATTCTTTCCAAGATTGTAGCTTGTAAAGACAGATAGGGAGACATTCGTGGCTATTTTACTTAAAAAAGAGTTTAAGTACTGCATAAAATTGCACAAAATGACATATTTACCACAATGTTAATTAATATTCCACAACTATTACTGACTCTTACTGCTTGTTTAATAAAACCACACACAAAAAAATGTTAAGCTTTAGGGCTAGACCAATGAAATGCTATACTATTACTTCTGTAGGTTAGAAATTTTCAATTCCGTCAGAATTTCCCAAATTAGACTTCCCATTTGCTGAGAGGCCTACCATACCCACCTGAGTTCATAAGAAGCTCCCCAAGTGGCAGGAGATCCTATTTGAATTCAGCTGCAATGTAGCAAATGCTAAAAAGTACATCACCGTTTTAAAAAAAAAGTCCTTGACCCCAAGACTCTGATAGTAAAACAGGAGCAGTACCTTATAATTCACAAAACTAAACTCTAATTCTGCACTAGCAATGGTACTTACAGGCTTTTTTCCTGCTCTACAAAAGAGGTTAATACCTATTTCGTAGAGTTGTTGCAAAAATCCACTAAGACGAATATTTGTAAAACTAAACTATAAACTACAGCAACACATTTTATTGCAAAAAGATACATTAAAGAGTTTTTAAAATAAAAATAAAAAGCCACAACCCCACGACTACCCTAACCATTTTTATATTTTGTTTGTTCCCTTCAAGACTTATCTTCAAATACTTTTTAATAAAATTATATTCATGTGAATTGGGGGAAGATAGTATAACATGCCTAGGTTCCAGAACCAGGTTCCATTAATCAGATGGCCCAGCTTTAAATACTATGTCCTGAATTTACTGAGTGACCCTGGGCAAGGTTCCTAAATGCCTTTGTCCTGTTTTCTCCTCTATAATTTCAGGATAACAACAGTATCTATGTCATAGGGAGGTGTGAAGATGAAGTAAGTTACCACTCAGTGCTGTGCCTGGCACATGGCAAATAAATGTTAGCTTAAAAAATATGAACTTAATAGTCTGCTTTTTAAAAGATTTAATGTGGTGTCATAAAAAGCATCAAACTAAGGTCAGCAAAAAGGCAAGGAAAAGACGTTTCCTCTTTCCCTATTATTTAACACTGTATGGATATATTGGCCAATGCTATTAGATGAAAGAAAGTAATTTGAGGAATAACTTGGAAGAGTAAAACAATCCCTATTTGCAGATGACAAACTAGTATACATGTAAAATTCTTAAAAAAAGAAAAAAGGTAATCAATCATAAAATTGAAACTATAAAACAATTTATTAAGGCAGCAGTTTAGAAAACATAAAAGTTCAAGAGTTTTTATATAAATAACAGTAACAAGAAGACAACATGGAAAAGAAAACCACATTTTCAGTAGCAACAACAATAACAATATCCCTAAGAGTAAACCTTAGAAATGTTCAAACCTATATAAAGAAAACTTTAGTCTCCTGAAGGACACAAAAAGGATGTGAACAAATGGAAAGACTTCTACTGCTCTGATGGTCAACTCAGTATCATCACAAAATCAGTTCTCCAACTTATAAATTTAACATAACCCCCATAAAAAGACCAACAAGCTTTTTTTCTGGAACTAGAGCAATTTGATACTAAATTTCACATGGAAAAATAAACATAAAAGAATAACCTTGTAAAAAAAGAATAATGAGGTGAGAGTGACACTGTGAAAGACTAAAACATGTTAAAAAGGCTAGGCACAGTGGTGCATATCTGTAGTCTCAGCTACTAAGGAGGCTGAGGCAGGATCATTGCTTGAAAGTAGGAGTTCAATGCTATGATGTGCTATGAATAGCCACTGCAGCCTAGCCTGGGCAACACAGCAAAACTCTGCCTCTTTAAAAAACAAACAAACATGCTGTAATGCCTCAATAATTAAAATACAGGGAGTTACCATTTCTTAATCCCCCATATTGGAAAAATTTAACAAGCCTGACAACACAGCAAAATTGTGGAAAACAGGTATTTTCATACACACTATTGGTAGAAATGCAAAAAAGTTATCTCCTACAAAGGGAATTTGGCAATATTTAACAAAACTACTTATTTAACAAAACTATATATGCATTTATTCTTTGATTGCTGCTTCAATTCCCACATTAGTAATTAACTCTAAAGACACAGCTGCAACAATTTGAAAATAGGTTTGCATAAGGTTACTAATATTTATAGATTATTCAGATGACATTATTTACTACAGTAACATTAGAAACAATCCAAGTGCCATTATGTCAGGAACTGGTTAAATAAACTGGATATAACTACACAATGGAACATTATGCAGCTGTAAAAAGAAAATAATGAGATTCTATGAGCTTAGTGATTTTTTAAGATATACGAAGTGAAAAAAGGCAAAATATATATTTTTAATGAGCTTTATTTTAGGAAGGGAAACTAGGCTTTATCTTAATCTTACATGTTTTACATACCCATAAATAAAATTTCTTGAATTCCGTAATTCAACGAACATTATAGAATGCACTTACACAAACCTAGTTGGTATATAGTCTACTACATACCTAGGTTATAGGCGTAGCCTATTGCTCTTAAGCTACACACCAATACAGCATGTTAATGTACTGAATACTGAAGACAACTATAATACAATGCTAAATATTTGTGAACCTAAATGTATCTAAACACAGAAAAGGTACAGCAAAAATACAATAATATATTCTTATGGGAACACAATCATATATGCAGTCCAACACTGACCAAAACATTTTATGCAGTGCGTGTCTGTACTTTAACAATACATCTTCAGTCTAAACACAAAAAGAACTTCAAGCAAATCAGTAGCTCTACGTGGCAGGTTTGTTGTTTGTTGTGGGATAACAATTCTGGAAGTATTCTATATGTACTGCAGAACTGAGAAGATATATATACTATTGTAGAAAACTAAGATTCTTACTGCAGGTTAAGAGAGATACATGGAATGGAAGAAGGAAAAGAACAAACTAGCTAGTACGGATTGCAATTAGAAGTATCAGCATAGCCTCATGATTTTCAAAATAAATGTATTTACAAATAAAATGATTCTTTTCCCAGCTCTGTTCTCTAAAAGGGCTAGAGGAAAAAATAACCCAATAGCAATGAGCACATCTATCACCTCGATCTTGGTTTCTATATGCTATTCCACACTAAATGGAACCAGAATTTTTAGAGAAATGGATGATTCTAGAGCTGAGTAGGCAAAATACAAGATGACCCTGGAGATCTTATTTTATCAAAAAGGATGGGCCCAAGAATAATAGATACATGTTAAAAAGATAAAAGGAGCTAGCTTAAAAGGGCTCCCGCTGGCCAAATCTAAGCAACCAAATGCATAGCAATGACAGTTTTTAACCATTGTATAAAGTAAAAATTGAATCAATAAAGAAATAAGAATGAAAATATTTTCCTTACTGGAGACTATCAACTAATAAATGTAGAAGAAGTCAGGAGGAGTGGCTGATCCCAGTAATCCAGCACTTTGGAGGCCAAATGAGATGGATTGCTTAAGCCCAGAAGTTTGAGACCAGCCTGAATAAAACGGCACAACCCTGTCTCTATAAAAAATATAAAAAATAGGCCGGGCACAGTGGCTCACACCTGTAATCCCAGCACTTTGGGAGGAAGAGGAGGGCAGATCACCTGAGGTCAGGAGTTTGAGACCAGCCTGGCCAACATGGTGAAACCCCGTCTCTACTAAAAACGAAAAAATTAGTCAGGCATCGGGGCACACACGTGTAATCCCAGCCACACAGGAGGTTGAGACAGGAGAATTGCTTGAACCCAGGAGATGGAAGTTGCAGTAAGGCGAAATCGCGCCATTGTAACTCCAGCCTAGGGTGTCAGAGTGAGACATCATCTCAAAAGAAAAAAAAAAAAACCACCAAATAAAAAAAATTAGCTAGGCAGGGTGGCCCACTCTTATAGTCCCAGCTACTTGGGAGGCTGTGGTGGGAGGATGGCTTGAGCCAGGAGGTCAAGGCTGCAATGAGCCGTAACTGTGCTGCTATACTCCAGCTGGGTGTTTTGAGACAGTATGAGCCCCTGTCTCAAAAAACAAACAAATGTAAAGGGAAATGACAGAGTTAGAAAACAAGCGTCATAAAATGCTTGTATCATATTAATAACTGATTCACTAGTTGATTAGGTAAATGCAAAAACCTTAGGGCCAGGAGTGGTGGCTCACCTGTAATTAAGATCCAATTCATACAAATCAGTTTGGCTCAAAGTTAAGATTAGTTAATAAATCCACATGGTTATATAAGTGAAACAATACAAAAGGTGCATAAAATTCTATAAATAAAAGCAAAGGAACAACAATGCCAAATTGCATTTAGTGACGCTGAAGCAGGAGAGTAAATCCCACTTCCATCCTTACGTCCTATTCATCCCATTACCAACACCACTCTAGGTTATCACTTTTGGACAAACATGCTATTATTCTCCCTCCTTTGTTAAGTATGATACCAAAAGGTATCATACTATATTCACCATACTGTGCTTTGCTTTTTTTAAACCTAACAATATAGTTTAGCAATCTTCATCAGTTCATAGGAATATTCCATATTTCCTTTAATGGTTATACACTAAGTTAATCACATGGATAGAGCAAAAATTATTTAGCTGGCCCCATTAAAGATATTTCAGTTTCTTCTAATATTGGCTATTACAAACAATGATTCAAAAAATAACCTTGGGGCAAGGCGTGGTGGCTCTCCTGTAATCCCAACATTTTGGGAGGCCGAGATAGGCAGATCACTTGAGGTCAGGAATTCAAGGCCAGTCTGGCCAACATGGTGAAACCTCATCTCTACTAAAAAAAAAAAGTAATACTAATAATACAAAATTTAACCGGGCATGGTGGTGGATGCCTGTAATCCCAGCTACTTGGGAGGCTGAGGCAGGAAAATTGCTTAAACCCATGAAGCAGAAATTATAGAGAGCTAAGACTGTCCCACTGTACTCCAGCTTGGACAATAGAGTGAGGCCCTGACTCAAAAAAATAAAATAAAATAAAATAATAACCTTGGGTATCAGTGTGTGCATATGCTATTAAATCTAGAATAAATTCTCAGAAGTGACACTGTGGAGTCAACAAATAAGGATACCAGCGAATATCACATCAATACCAACTTTTGGGGAGTCTGTGGAGTAATGAGAACTCATGTCCTGCAAGCAGGTCAACATGTCCAGGCAAACACTTGAGAAAAAAATTTCCCAGAATCTAGTAAAGCTCAAATCTATATACTCTCCAGCTCTTAAACTCTACTCATAAGTAGAAACCTAACAATCTAGTTTAGCAATCTTCATCAGTTCATAGGAATCCGTAGAATAAATTACAATATACTACACTACACAATATACTACAAGACATACACAGCCACTTAACAGCTTTACTTATGACAACAAATCACACCAAAAAAAAAAAAAGAAGAAAGAAAGAGGGAAGGATGAATAATTTTTAAACTATGGTATATTTGCAAAATGGAATACAACACAGTAGTGAAGAATGAAGAAATTAGAGCTATAGGCATCCACAGTAATTTATCTATGCCTTAGACAATTACTTAATCTCTCTTTGTCATAGTTTCTCCATTCATAAAATAGAAATAATAATATTCACAGAACTAATATTTGCTAATATTTATCAGGATTTTAGAACAGTACCTGGCATGTAGTAACTATATACATGTTTGTTAAATGAAATGGATCACAAATACAAATGTTACCACGTTGAGTGAAAAGTCAAGTTTCAGAAAACTGTATACAGCATATGGAGACCAAGTGCAGGCAGTATAGAAACACAGAAAACAATACCACGTACTACTACAGTAAGTGCTTGCTCAACCATGCCCATAGGTTGTTGGCAATGGCAACTTTTAAGCAAAAGAACATATAACAACACCTTTTTTCCCCCTCATAGTTATCACAAAATGATGTCGAACAAAATGACGTTGAGGATCTGCTGTACACCATTTCACTTGAAGTCACAGTTTCCAAGAACCTACAGATGTTAAGTGAGGACTTCCTGTATTTAGAAATGTAAAAATGCTATAATAAAGGCAAGGGAATGGCAATGCCAAATTGCAAACACTGATGCCAGAGCAAGAGACAATTTGGAAGGAACGTCTGGGAAATTAGCACTGGCAATGTTCATTCTTATACCTGGTGCTCATTCCGTTATTCTTCAAAGTTCTATGTATGCCATAAGAGTCCCATAATAAACAAATAACTTTTTTTCTTTTGTTCCTCCTCTACTTTGTGGGATTATTTAAGTAACTTTTTTTCTAAATGAAGGATATTCAGTGGAGGAAAAACAATAGAGTACATACTTATGAAACAATTACAAGCAAATACAGTGAAAAACTATCCAGTGATAGACACGAAAAAGGAAAATGCATGATTGACAGAACATGCAATACATGATATCTAAAACAATATCACAGATATTATTTTACCACAAAACAATTTTCAGATTCAGTAAAAAACAAAATCTATACTCCGCTTACAAGGACAAAACATTCAGATAGGAAGGCTAAAAATAAGAGCTACACCAAGCAAATTCTGACAAAAAGAAAAAGCAACGATGGAAATATAATTATATAAAATAAAATTCAAAATTTAAATAATTAATAGGAAAAGAGACAAAAAGAACACACCAGGCAGATGTCCTAAATCATATGTGCTAAGCAGCATAACTTTTAAATATATAATGCAAACAGGTTAGAACTGCAAGGAGAAAATGTCCAACCACAATCATAACAGAAAATTTTTCACACACCTCTGTCAAAAATCAATTGAGCAAAAGGACCAAAGTAATAAGAAACTCAACTCAATTTAGATAAACATGGAATTTTATATCTAAATGATAGAGAATATACATTTTCTCCAGACTCAAAATACTTATTAAAAATAGAATACTGTGTTTTATGAACACCTAAGTCTTCAAAAAATTCCCCAAATTTGAATTCTATAGGCCATGTGCACCAATTGCAATATAAGGGACTAGAAATTAACAAATAAATACTGATCAAAAATGAAAACATCAATGTCCTACCTGACTGAAATTTTAAAAACAATTTAGGCCCTTTATGCCTTTTGGTAGATTCTGGAAAGATTTTTCTTAGAAAATAACTTAAAACTGGGGGAAATTACATGCACAAAGCTATTACATCGAGAATTACTCATATGGCAAAAAAAAGTCTAAGCAATCTAAATGCCCTTTTTTAAAAATTTGAGGCAAGGTCTCATTTTGTTGCCCAACAACCTAGAGTATAGTGGCACAATCACAGCTCACTGCTGCCTCAACTTCCGAGGCTCAAGCAATCCTCCAGCCTTGGCCTCACGAGTAGCTGGGACTACAGGTGCACACCTCCATGCCCAGCTAATTTAAAAACATTTTTTTTTTTTTGTAGAAATGAGGTCTCCCTATGTTGCCCAGGCTGGTCTCAAGCTTTTGGGCTCAAGCAATTTCTTGCCTTGGCTTTACAAATTGTTGGGATTACAGGCATAAGCCACCATGTCTGGCCTAAATGTGTATTAATAAAGAAATACCTTAGTACTTTACAGTACATTCATTTGATGGACTATTGTACAATCATCTCCTTGACTGATATAAGCATCATATAGCAATGTAGCAAATCCTCGTGAGACTGGGCATAATGACTCACACTTGTAATTCCAGCACTTTGGGAGGCCAAGGCAGGGTGATTGCTTGAGCCCGAAAATTTGAGATCAGCCTGGGCAACACAGGGCGAACTCATTTCTACAAAAAAATTGAAAAATTAAGCAGTCATGGTAGCATATGCCTGTAGTCTTAGCTACTCAGGAAGATTGCTTGGGCTCCAGAGTTTTAGACTAGAGTCAGCTGTACTGTACTGTACTCTACCCTGGGTAACAGAGTCAAACTCTGTTTCAAAAAAAAAAAAAAAAAAAAAACCCAAAAGAAAAAAAATCCTTGTGACAAGATCAAGAAAATAATCAGAATTGAAAATATGTAACTGGAAATGGTCATTTATCAGGAGATAAGATATAATGGTCAATGAATATATAAAAAGCTATCACTCAAGAAATCAATATATGATGATTAATGAAAATAAGAAATCACTCATCCCACCATCAAGGTGTCCAACCATTTTTAAAAACTTTAACGGTTTACTGATGAGGGTATAAGGAACCAAGCATTCACAACCACTGAGAACTTATAGAAATTGGTACAACCTTTCCACAGTTATTTTTGGCAACATCTACAAAACTTTGTGAAGGCCTTTTGACCTTCACAAAGTTTTGTACATGTTGTCAAAATAATTTTAAGAAATTCTATCTTTAAAATTCTATCTTTCAATATCATGAAAATGCCCATACTGCCCAAAGTAATTTATAAATTTAATGCTATCCCCATCAAGCTACCATTGATTTCTTCAGAAAATTGGAAAAAGCCACCTTAAACTTCATCTGGAACCAAAAGAGAGCCTGCATAGCCAAGACAATCCTAAGCAAAAGAATAAATAAATAAATAAATAAATAAAGTAAATAAATAAAACAAAGCTGGAGGCATCATGCCACCTGACATCAAACTATACTACAAAGCTACAGTAATAAAAACAGCATGATACTGGTACTAAAACAGAGATATTGACCAATGGAACAGAGCAGAGGCCTCAGAAGTAATGCCACACATCTACAACCATCTGTTCTTTGACAAACCCAACAAAAACAAGCAATGAGAAAAGGGTTTCCTATTTAATAAATGGTGTTGGGAAAATTGCCTAGCCATATGCAGAAAGCTGAAAGTGGATCCTTTCCTTACACCTTATAAAAATTTAACTCCAGATGGATTAAAGATTTAAACATGAGGCCCAACACCATAAAAACCCTAGAGGAAATGTAGGCAACACCATTCAGGACATAGGCATAGGCAAGGACTTCATGACTCAAACACCAAAAGCAAAGGCAACAAATGCCAAAATAGACAAATGGGATCTTACTAAACTTAAGAGCTTCTGTAAGCAAAAGAAACTATCATTAGAGTGAACTGGCAACCAAGAGAATGAGAAAAAAATTTGTGCAGTCTACCCATCTGACAAAGGGCTAATAACCAGAATCTACAAAGAACTTAAACAAATTTACAAGAAAAAAACAAACCCATTTAAAAAATGGGCGAAGGATATGAACAGACACTTCTCAAAGAAGACATTTATGCAGCCAACAAACATGAAAAAAGCTTATCATCACTGGTCATTAGAGAAATGCAAATCATTGGGAGAGAGATCCAAGATGGCTGATCACTAGCAGCTCGGGATTGCAGCTCCCACTGAAAGAGCAGAGAACGAGAGGACGCCACACTTTCAGATCAATTTTTGTTGCTCACCCACCAGGAGATTCCCAGCGGAGGAGCCCCACCTGTCGCCAGCGTGACTCTTGAGGCCGGTGAGGCGGTTTTGCCGCTGCCTTGGTGTGGCGGTTCTTGGTGCAGAGTCAGAAAAGCACCATCAATCTTAAAGCCGCTGTTTTGGCTGGAGCAGTGGGTTGCTCAGATTCTAGCGCCAGGAATCAACAAGTTGGACGTCCATTCAGAAACCCAACTATAAAGACGGTAATTATAAAGACCACAGATGGATAAATCTATAACGAAGGGAAGAAAACAGCCTAAAAAGGCTGAGAATACCCAAACTCAGAACTCCTCTCCCTCTACAGGGGATCACAGTTCCTCATCAGAAACAGAACAAGGCCTGATGGAGAAAGACTGTGTTCCATTAGCAGAAGCTGGCTTTAAAAAGTGGATGATAAGAAACTTCTGGGAATTAAAAGAACTTGTTCTAACCCAATGCAAAGAAACTAAGAACTTTGAAAAAAGGTTTGACGAAATGTTAACAAGAATACACAATTTAGAGAGGAATATAAGTGAATTAATGGAGCTGAAAAATACAACACGAGAATTTTGCGAACTATGCACAAGTTTTAACAGCCGAATTGATCAAGTAGAAGAAAAGATATCAGAGGTCGAAGATCAACTTCATGAAATAAAACAAAAAGACAAGATTAGAGAAAAAAGGATAAAAAAGAACGAGCAAAGTCTCCAAGAAATATGGGACTATGTGAAAAGACCTAATCTACGTTTGATAGGTGTACCTGAATGTGACGAAGAGAATCAATCCAAGCTGGGAAATACGCTTCAGGATATTATTCAGGAAAACTTTCCCAACCTAGCAAGGCAGGACAATATTCAACTCCAGGAAATACAGAGAACACCACAAAAATATTCCTCAAGAAGGCCAACCTCAAGGCACATAATTGCCAGATTCACCAGGGTTGAAATGAAAGAGAAAATACTGAGGGCAGCCAGAGAGAAAGGTCAGGTTACCCATAAAGGGAAGCCCATCAGACTCACAGCAGATCTCTCAGTAGAAACCCTACAAGCCAGAAGAGAGTGGGGGCCAATATTTAACATCCTTAAAGAAAAAACTTTCAACCCAGAATTTTACATCCAGCCAAACTAAGCTTCATAAGCGAAGGAAAAATAAAATCTTTTGTGAACAAGCAAGCACTCAGAGATTTCATCACCACCAGGCCTGCTTTACAAGAGCTTTTGAAAGAACTACTACAAATAGAAAGGAACAACTAGTATCAGCCTTTCTAAAAAATACCAAAAAATAAAGAACATCAACATATTTAAGAAATTGCATCAACTAACGGGCAAAACAGCCAGCTAACATTAAATGACAGTATCAAACACACATATATTGTTATTAATTTTAAATTTAAATCGACTAAATCCCCCAATCCAAAGACATAGACAGGCAAAAAAAGCCAAGACCCATTGGTATGCTACATCCAGATCCATCTCACATGCAAGGATACATAAAGACTCAAAACAAAGGGATGGTGAAAAATTTACCAACCAAATGGAGAGCTAAAATAAATAAATAGAAAGCAGGAGTTGCAATTTTTGCTGATAAAATAGATTTCAAAGCAATAAAGATCAAAAGAAGAAAGAAGGATATTACATAAAGATAAAAGGATCAATGTAACAAGAAGAGCTAAAGATCCTAAACATATATGCACCCAATACAGAAATACCCAGATATATAAGACTTATAAAGAGACTTGGACCCCCACACAATAATAGTGGGAGACTTCAACATCAATATTAGATAGATCAATGAGACAGAATGTTAACATCGATATCCAGGACTTGAACTCAGATCTGGAACAAGTAGACTTAATTAACATTCATAGAACTCTCCACTTTAAATACACAAAATATACACTCTTATCAGTACTACATCACACGTATTTACAGGTTTAAATGAAATATTGGTTGGCTGCTTGTTAATTATTTTATTCCCTCATTTTTTTTTATGTCTCTATTATTAAACACAATTACAGGCATACCCAGTTTTAGACTGCATTCTAGCCTGGGCAATAAAGCAACACCCCTGTTCTCTCTCCCTTTTCCTCTTCCTCTTTCTTCCTTTCCTGTATTCTTTTTCTTTCTTTTTTTTTTTTTTTTAATTTTTTTTCTTCCTTTCAAAAAAAAAAAAAAAAGAGAAATGCAAATCAAAACATTGAGATACCATCTCACGCCAGTTAGAATGGCAATCATTAAAAAATCAGGAGACAACAGATGCTGGAGAGGATGTGGAGAAATAGGAACATTTTACACAGTTGGTGGGAGTGTAAATTAGTTCAACCATTGTGGAAGACAGTGTGGCACTTCCTCAAGGATCTAGAAATAGAAATACCATTTGACCCAGCAATCCTATTACTGGGTATATACTCAAAGAATTATAAAAGATTCAATTATAAAGACACATGCACATGTATGTTTACTGAGGCACTGTTTACAATGGCAAAGACTTGGAACCAACCCAAATGCCCAACAAAGACAGACTGGATAAAGAAAATGTAGCACATATACACCATGGAATACTACGCAGCCATAAAAAAGGATGAGTTCATGTCCTTTGCAGGGACATGGATGAAGCTAGAAACCATCATTCTTAGCAAACTGACACAAGAACAGAAAACCAGACAGTGCTATGTTCTCACTCATAAGTAGGTGTTGAACAACAAGAACACATGGACACAGGGAGGAGAACATCACACATGGGGGCCTGTTGTGATGTTGGGGGGAGCTAGGGGAGGGATAGTAATGGGTGGGGGGATTGGGGAGAGCTAACATTAGGAGAAATACCTATTGTAGATGATGAGGGGATGGATGCAGCAAACCACCATGGCACGTGTATACCTATGTAACGAACCTGCATGTTCTGTACATGTATCCCAGAACTTAAGTATAATTTTAAAAAATATTAAAATATGGGCAAAGGTATAGTTACCAGTATGTTCTCCATTATTTAAAATAGTGAAAAACAATGACAATCTAAATTCTAAAAATTAAGAGCAGGTAGATATTATTTGATACAGCCATACTTATGCAATACTATGCAGTGTTTAAATTATATTATAAAATATAATTATTGACAGAAAATGTCTCCATATGTATGTGAAGAAAAGCAAAGCATAAGGCACATGTAACGATTCCATTTTTGTTACATATATTTGACTGTGTGTCCACACATAAAAAAATTAATATATACATTAAAATCCCAGAAGACTATTGGCCAGATATAATAACGGTAGCCATCTCTGAATGATGGCACTTTTAGGTGATTTAATATCCTTTTGCTCTATATTTTCTAATTTTCAATAATGAATATGCATTACTTATATAAGAAAAATGTTACCAAACTATACAAATGAGAAAGCAATTGAAAGAAAATTTTAAAACCTAAGAATGATTTAAAAATGGGATGGTGGGTATTTTTTTTTCTTCTTGCAGTCTCCCTAGGATGGTCTCACATTATGCTTGTTACTTAATATTTAAAAAATTAATAGTGAAACCACCCATAATCATTAAGGA